ATGGCACTGCCTGGCAGCACGGCTCCATCATGGAAATCCTGACATTGGGATGCAATAAATCACTGACTGCTGCTTGCCAATGGTAATTTGACATGGAGACATCAATAGCTGGTCTCATCTGGAACAACACCGCAGACATTATACGATTAACAAGTGTGCACGCATTTCACAAAAATGCCTGCACCTATCACACAAAATCTGAATGTTTTCACAGACATGCTGCCCAGAAGAGGTGAATCACTGTCCTCATTACAGAGCTAATATTCAGTGAGCCACAAAACCATCCAGGACTCCATCCAAGGTGATGGAGAGAGCTCCTGACAAGCCCTATTACAAAGCCCTTCCTGTGTCATTTGTAGCCTGAAATTCAAATCACTATATGAAGGGAGTTTGACCACAAAGACAAATCTGCTGATGTGAGAACATGCCACGTGAAAGTCTCTGTTCCTCAGCAGCTGAGAGCCATCACCATGCTGGAGATATTCCTCCTGCTTTTTAACACGCTACAGCAGCCTTAGTTTTCCCGTCAAAGAGGGCAAGGGTTACATACGATCGAGATCTGTGCCTGGATCGCCGGTAGTTTGGATCCGCCTGGTTTTTCTCCTTTTGTCGCCGTAGTACAGCTTCCCACTGAGGAGCTGAGTCAACCATGTCATTCTCTTGCCGTAATCTGCAAAAGAAGTACTGGGAGTTTAGTCTGAGGTCTCTGACACAGGATGCTCTGAGAAGCAATGGGGTATTTTCTTCCCCACAAAAATCCAGCTCCTGCAATGCAATACTTAATTTTTTTTATCTTGCTAAATTTTAAGTAATGTTCCCAAACTACATTAAAATGTAAAAATCGGTGTCAAAGAAAACTCACTGATTTGCTATTTAGAAACAGAAAAATGAGATGACCCTTTAAAAACACGACTACAACTTGAATTCAATTTGTCTTCCCAGCCCAAGCCAAACATCTAGAATTTTTTCCCTGCTTAAGTGCTCAAGTCTACCTCATCTACAGCAAGTGTAAGCCCAACATCATGATACAACACTCTACAACTATTCTAAATACTTTGTTGCAGCACACACCTTCCTAGGATCCAGGGAAAATCCCCCAGGGATGCCCTTGGTGAGTTCCTGCTCAGAGGAAATGATCCCTTCACTCTGACCTGCAACAAAGCCCAGGGTGCATGCAGATCTCCCCAGCTGCCCCAGACACATATAATCCCGCCATTGTCACCCCTTCTGCACCACACCCTGTGGCTTCTACCCCTGTCTCTGCTTATGTGATTCTAAACAACATGTATTTTTTATTTCTGCATTTATTTTTTTTTTAAATCCATGAATCTGTTATTGGAATGTAGTACAGATTAAACCAAATGTCAAAATCCTATAAATTCACCATGTTTGTTAGCAGGCTGAAGTAAGTCTATGATGACACAGCCACCCAGGGTAGCCAGGGCAACCTGCCAGTGTTTGGCCATTCGAAGTTCTACAGATGCTTCACAGTTTTGGGGTTGCAGATATGAGTGGTGTGATGATATGCTAAGGTGGAACAAACGGATATGCTTGGTCACAGCAGTGAATTTAGAATTCAGCACAGATTTAGACAGAACTCTGGAAAATATCACTCCAAGAGTGGATTCTCTGATAGGGTGGTACAACTGGCATACTGAAGAAACCAGAGGAGCTTAACAAAAAATGGGAAGACTGACAAAACAAACAAACAAGCCAACAGAGATAAAGGGATTACACTGGAGACGTGACAGATAGGAAATGCAAAGCATGCTGTTGTTGCTCTTCACTACAGATGTACCTTTCTCCTTGAGTTTTTAATTGTATCAGGCTAAACTGGCTACACAGGCTGCTGTTTTTCCTTTAACCAGATCTTCTCTCACATGCGTAATGTATTTTGAGCTGGATCCCCAACTACTGTAAATGGCTACAACTCTACCAAATGGCACCGAGCATCCGGAGAAGACCACAACATCAGGTTTTGATTTCTAAGCAAGTCTTTTTAAACCTGTAATCTGGTGACAGGGATTAACATAAACTTCTATCTAAGGATTTTGTAGAAGAACTCACAGAGCAACAAGTAATGAATTGTGATTTTCATCCCGAATAATCCACTTTGTGGGGACAGCAATCATCCCACATGGTATAAACACTATCAACTGCCTTGCACATACGGCAGTCACTTGCACAAAAAGAAGACACACGGCTGCCAGACCAGCGCTGCTGCCGTGGGTGGTGGGTCTGCCCACTTGCCAGTACCTCGCCCCGTCTCTCCCAAACAACTCCTAACAGGTCAAGTAGACAACTGTGCTCTGAAGGAGGCATTCAGATGCTTGCCATAAAGTAACTGAGAACTACTCATTCTTCTTGGGAAACCCACACAATGAAGCAGAGCACAAGGTCCCTACTCCAGCACAGAGCACATGAGATCCTGCACCTCTGTGTTTGAAGCCACACTCCCACTCCAACCACGAATGACCTCTCATGAAGGGAGTAAACACATCATTTCTGCTCCAGTCCATTCTACAAATCTAGTAGATTAGCATCTACTGCTGCATGGCAAGCACAGTCCTTAGCAAATCATCACTCATCTGTTGACTTAGAGATGTTCTTTCCCCATTTAAGGTGATACGATAGCAAGCTACGTTTATGCAATGATAAATTCTCTTAAGCAACTCTGAAGACTTGATTCTTGATACTTCATTCAAAATGAACGAATTTTTAATTCATTCAAACCACAACAGGCAGGAGAAAAGGGCTGACAGGAACCTCATGCAGTTCAACAAGAAGTGCAAAGTCCAGCGCCTGGGAAGGAACAACCCCAGGCACCAGTACAGGCTGGGGGCTGCCCAGCTGGAAAGCAGCTTGGCAGAAAAGGACCCGGGCATCCCAGTGGACACTAAGTTGAAGATGGGCCAGCAATATGCCCTTGCAGCAAAGGTGGCCAATAGTATCCTGGGCTGCATTAGGCAAATTATTTCCAGCAGGTCGAGGGAGGTGATCCTTCCCCTCTACTCAGCACTGGTGAGGCCACACCTGGAGTGCTGGGTCCAGTGCTGGGCTCCCCAGTACAGGAAGACAGACATGGACATACTGGAGAGAGTCCAGCAAAGGGCCACCAAGATGATGAAGGGACTGGAGCATCTCTCCTAGGAGGAAAGGCTGAGAGAGCTGGGACTGTTCAGCCTGGAGAAGAGAAGGGTTGGGGGGATCTCATCAATGTATATAAATACCTGCAGGGAGGGCGCAAAGGGGATGGAGCCAGGCTCTTTTCAGTGGTGCCCAGTGACAGGACCAGAAGCAACGGGCCTGCAACACGGGATGTTCCCTCTGAACATCAGGAAACACTTTTTCACTGTGAGGGTGACCAAGCACTGGCACAGGTTGCCCAGGGTGGTGGTAGAGTCTCCATCCTTAGAGATACTGAAGAGCCATCTGGGAATGGTTCTGGGCAACTGCCTCTAGGTAGCCCTGCTTGAGCAGGTGGGTTGGACCAGATGACCTCCAGAGGACCCTGCCAGTCTCAACCGTTCAGTCATGCTATGATTCTAATCAGATGGATCTTCTAAGTAGAGTCAAGAAGACGACTATGCTCCAGTACACATTGTCTACTAGTTTAATATATTTTTATCCACACAAAAAATTTTGACCACAGTATTAAAAAAAGCAAACAGGTTTCTTCTATGATTGAAATATGCTCATCATAGGTTCTTCTTTAATTTTGTATGAATGTCTGCTTAGGATAAAACACTCATATGGTGGAGTGAAAACTCAAAGACTGATTTAGATCAAGGAAAGAGTTTCTCTCTAACCTTCTTCCGGTGTTTTACCTTCAGTAGTTCTCATCTTCATTTCTGTTTTTCTCTGATAATTTGTTTTCATCTGACAAATAGTTCACAGTGATCTATTCTCATGTGAACAATAAATTCTACTCTTCTATGATCAGAATCAGATTCTTTTGGGTAATGTGAGTATTCAGTCATTTTATTCCAATAAAACAATACAACTTCGTGTCTGCTTGTGCCAGGGACTTGATTATTGTGCTGGGAAACAAATTAGTATTAATCTATGCAACAGGTAAAACTTGAGTAACAGCAAGTTGCAAGCCTCATTATATTGTCCCATTTAACCCTGTCAGGGCTGGCTCACCTCTGCTAACAGGAAAGCTATTCAGTGCCTGTGCCTTT